GCTGGCCACAGAGACTTTACTGCAGGTAAGTGATCTGTGAAAGATCAAGGTGAGAAAGATATTGTGAATGACAGCAAATCTAATGGAGCATGTGGCAACTTTGAAAGAAAATGTCCTCAGAGACAGGTCTGAGAGTTGTTTGCTAGTACTGTATTTCTGCTTGTCCTTTGGGATGCCTGTCTCTGATCTTCTCTAAGGTCAAGAAGCCAGTCAGAGTGGCTGCCCATATCAATTCATACTGCTACTTTATAATTTGTACTGCATATTTTTACATTGTTACTGTGGTATGAAGGATACACAGAAGAAATGCTTTGAAATGCTTAGTGAAATAGTCTTAGTGCTTCTTACTTCATGCAGCTTTAGCCCAAGAAGAGCCTGGCCGTCAACCAAAGCACAGGTTACAGACTGCAGACACTCACTGTTGAGCCCAGAGGTGCCTCTTTGCTCTGCCCAGATTTACAGCCCCATTTACAAGGCTCTCCCTAATGCCCTGCCACAGCTCGCAGAGCCGCTGTGGTTGTGCTCTTCCTCACAGCATGAAAACATGACCAGACAGGGAAAGGGCTGAGTCAGCTCTGCTGGCATGTTGCTGCCTTCACAGCAACACTGAGGAAGGTCTTCCAGCAACCCACAGCTACCATGGTGTATTTGTTTTGTAATCAGAGCTCCCAGCATGTGGCCTGAGGAGCGGTACAGCATCCCAGCTGGCCAGGGTCACGGCTGAGGAGAGGACTTGGCAGCCGATGGGGAGACAGACAGCACGCACAAGTGTGAGCACACCCAGCCCAGGCCACCCAGACCCAGGCAGCCCTTGGGAAGGGGCTCTGCTGCCCGCAGGGCTGCCTGCCTGGCACAGGCAGGGACTGACTGCACTGCCCAGCAGGAACAATTGCCCTAGCATCCTGATTTTGGAAGGGGAAACCAGAGGATCAGAGCCCCAAAGAGCATTTGTCACTACTAAGACATGGTAACAGGAATATTTTGTGGGTCAAGGTTCTTTTTTTCAGATTAAATTGCACTCATTGGCCTATTTTAGTATTAATAGAAAATTTAATGTTTTGTTTATAACCAAGCACTTGTCCTCCCCCCCAAACACATTAACATTCCATTACAAAAAAAAAAAAAAAAAAAAAAAAAAAGCCCCAAGCACTTTATAAAAACACAAATTTATAACAAAAATTGTAAAAAGTACACATGCCACAAGGCCAAAATCTATTCAGTTCCCAGCTTGGTGAGACTTCCTGCTCTCCAAAAGCCATCTGACACTTGGTTTCTCTAGCTGGGACCAATTTGAAAATAACTGTTTGGAGCCCACTTGCTGACAATGCAATCTTCTTTGTCTTGTTTCTCCTACTTATCCAAAGTAAGTAGTGACAGGGAAAAAAAATTAAAAAAAAACATACCTCAACTGTTTCATTTATTTCCTTCTGAAAATAAGTGTTCTTCTTTGTCTCAGAGCTCATTAGCTGACTTTAAAATTGTCACCTCTTTTATTCAACAAACTGTTGTGTTTTGTAGATTTTTAATTTCTGACTCAGTTATTCCTCACTAATTATGAGTGCAGTTTAATAAACTCATCCTCCTTTTCTCCTAGAAGAAAAAGCATTGTCGTTGAGGATTCTTACTTGTTTTGACAAAAGAAAAATAATCTGAAAATCTTCCATTTGAAAAGGATTATCTTTGAACATTCTCTTCTGGCAAGCTATCATTTTTTTATTTTCCACATAGTTAACTAATTTTATGTGCTTCAGTAGTATCAGATATTCCTCTTCTCTAATTTCATAGAGAATTTCACATCATTTTGCTCCATTCCTCACCTTTCTCTTTTAGATGGTCAAGAGAAATGGTCAGCATCTGTAGTCTTAGAAAATACTTCTATTTCATACGAAGAATTTGGGAGAATACATTACTTTTTCTCTAGAAATATAACTGACTTCCCCACCTGCCTTTTGTTTAATTTAAAATCTATTATGACTTGGGTCACCCATATTTACCCTCTCCTGCAGCATCATAATGTGCAAAATAATCCAGTAACTGAGCAGGCCCCAGGAAAATGTGGATGATGCACACATCCGTAGAAAGAAAATGTGAAAAAGCAAGCAAACTTCTTCATACAGTAATAATAAACTCTACAGCAACATAAGTCAAGGAGTAATTTAATGTGATATGTCTTTTTGCTTCCTAATTCTAATTCAGCAAAGTGCTTGAATACTTTTGCGCTTTGCTTCTTCAAGAAATCATGGTTCTACTACATTAATGTTCTCATTCATGGTTCTACTGTATTGCAAAGAATGTATTATCAACAACATGATCCATAGGCAAAAATTCAGTAGCATGTATTTTAATACACTCATAACATTGTAACACTCACTTTTCTATTTGCTTTGTGATTTTATTATTACAATGTTTATGGCATGTAAATTGTTTCATTTCAATATCTACAATTGCAACATTTTAATTTGTTGAATTTTGCCTTAACACTTAGTATTGAATTTATCTTAATTGGAGTTGGTTCAGCTGTTAATTGGAGAAAAAAATGCAGCCCTGTAACTGTGCTGTTCTGTAACACATTCTGTTGATAAATCAAGAATTCTTTACCACAATAAAAGTCATTATGAACAGACAGCAAACTCTTAATCCTACACCTTCTATTAATATGAACAAATCCAACAAAAATAATCTAGTGGAAGAGGGGTGTCTGTTGACGCAACCTTAATCCACACTTTAATGTTTCTATCATAGCTGTCTTGTGTTCAATGCATCTTGAAACATTTGAAACAAATGCTGAAAACATTCATAAGCCTGTTCTCATCTTTTTTCCAAAAGAGTAATTTCAGTGCTGTATGAAACAAACCTTAAAAAAAGATTGCAAGTCAGTTTAAACTTTGTTCAGGGGTTACTTAAATTACGTAAGTCAAAAATCACCTAAACTTTGTTCGCATCAAATTACTTCTTTACTTTTTTTTTATTTATTTATTTGCTTTGGCTAAACGAAGGAAGATGTCAGTACTCTTCCAAAAAGAAAACAAATACAGGGAATATTAATAGTAAGATAATAGGTCATATTCCTTTATGAACATGATGAGCATTAATACTTTGGAAAATACAGATCCACGGTATAAATAATAATTAAAAAAAAAGGCATTAGAAAACTCTTAATTCTACTTTCTGTTGGCTTAACACACAAGCCAGTAATCAAGCATCACAACCAACTTTATGTGGCACAGCCTCACCCTGAGCTCTGTGTGCAGTTTTGGGCATCACAGTATAAGACATTAAGCTGTTAGAGAATGTCCCTTTAAAGGAAGGCAACAAGGATGGTGAAGGGCCTTGAGGGGAAGCCATATGAGGGGCAGCTGAGGTCACTTGGTCTGTTCAGTCTGGAGGAGAGTGAGGGGAGACCTCATTGCAGTCTGCAACTTCCTTGTGAGGGGAAGAGTAGGGAACCAATCTCTTCACTCTTGTGACAGGACTCATGGGTATGGCACTAAGTTGTTCCAAGGGAGGTTTAGGTTGGATATCAGGAAAAGGTTTGTCACCCAGAGGGTGGTTGGGCACCTGAACAGGCTCCGCAGGGCAGTGGTCACAGCACCAAGCCTGACAGAGTTCAAGAAACATTTGGACAATGCTCTCAGGCACATGGTGTGACCCTTGGGATGTCCTGTGCAGGGCCAGGAGTTGGACTCAATGATCATGATGGGTCCCTTCCAACTCAGCATATTCTATGATACATGTGAAAATCTGCCTCCTCTGAAGTAATTTGGAGAACTTTTCTTGTGGCTTCTGTGAGGCTGGAACCTCATTGATGGTGCCAGGGGCTGGTCACACGGTGGCAGGACACAGGGCTGATGAGTATGACAGGAGATTTCAAGTCTGCTGGCAGACATTAGGAAATCATTTCACAACCATAAAATTTGGACAAATATGCAAACTTACTTTAAGATGGGCACTCTCAGAGATTATTTCTTAAAGTTATAAATGTATTATCTGGGCTGAGTGGACCTAAATTTGTAAGGTAATTTACTTGCAATTTATGGCAAATCATGCTTTGTATGATATTTATTAACATTGATGAAGAAAACAGATTTTGTTGTTTGAGTAATAACTGAAGCAGCAATGCCTATAAAACCAGCAAAACACAAACTGAAACTACTTGTATTATCTCACAAAGAATTAGAAAAGTATTGCATCCATCTCCACACTCTAAATTCCCAACCAAGATATCATGCCTTAAACATTTCAATCTCTTACTTTACTTGCAATTTGTTGTGCCAAGTTTAAGTCTATATAATTTAATGTTAGCTTTTTCCTTTGTTCCATTTATTAAACTTTACCTTAAAAAAAAGAATCACAGAATCATAGAACAGTTTGTGTTGGGAGGGACCTTAAGGATCATCTATTTCCAACTCCTCTGCCATGGGCAGGGACACCTTCCATTAGACCAGGTTCCTCAAAGCCCCATCCAGCTTGGCCTTCAACACTTCCAGGGATGGGACATTCACAGCTTCTCTGAGCAACTTGTTCCAGTGCTTCATCACCCTCATAGAAAAGAATCTCTTCCTATCATCTAATCTAAACCTGCTCTCTTTCAGTTTGAAGCCATTCCCTCCAAAACAACGTTACATGATAAAAGAAGAAATGAAATTGTTTTTAATCCAGGTAGCCACAGGAGCAAAAGAAAATATTATTTAGTTTATCTCCCCAAATGACTGATTTATTTTACAAACAAGTCATTGAGAAATGATTCTTCAGAGGCAAGTGAAATAAAAGCATGCTTTGAGGCTGTAGCCAGATACCAAAATTACCACTCCTATTTGAAAAAGTGTAATTTTTCCTAAAATAGTGTGTTCAGTTTTACTGAGTGGGTTATCATTTGCTGAGATACTGTAGAAAGCCCACAAATGGTCAGACATAAATAGATTAGTCTTCTTTATTGTTCTACACATCCATACAAAACATATAATGGGAAGAAAAAACTAAAAACACAGAATGAAGTTGAGTGTGCTATGAAAACAGATTTACTGTTCATACTTCTTTTAAAAAATCATAAAGTTTAATAACACTCAGAAAAGGTGATAGAAAGCAGTTTTTATGATTAAGAGGTAGTTCTGTACACCTCACCACTGCTTCTCTGAAAATAAAGACTTTAGTAATTCACGTATTTTCTGTAATGGACAAGCATTTTACAATTATAAAATTTCCTTAACTCAGAACAATTGCCATTTATTTGGCCTGTGGATTAATTGCCCAAGGAATACAGTAGCTAGAAGAAAAATTTTCAAGGCATCATGACCAAGGTCACCATTCAATTTTACCAAATATATCTATATCAGGCACGTGACAAGAGCCTGTGAAAAAGCCTTTGCTGCAAAACTTCTTGTTTTGGCACAAGCGCAGACAAAGGAAAACAACAGAAGTAAAAAAAAAAAAAATCCCGTGTTCAAAAATTGAGATAATCCTCTAACTTCCAGATAACTATCTTGAAGCTAAAGTCTTTATGTGTAAAAACACAGAGAGGTCCCATTTGTCAAGAGAAACAGCAGCAGGACAACCCCTACTTTATTTTATGCTTGACACCCAGAGGCAAATCAGAAGGAATGAGACTAAAGTGGACATTCACTAACTTCTCAAGTGCTTCCCAAAACTGTGAACTGACCTTGGGTGGCTCATGACTTCAGTGACTCTGCAATGAAACGGGAGGGTATCGTTGATCATAACTGAAGGGTCTATCATTTTCATAACTGAAGCATTGTGCTGCCCAGAGATTTTCTCTTTGCCATCTCTAGGCTCCTGGCTTTACTCTATCTATTTGGTTCAGTCTCCCTATTGAAATTCTAAAAATCAGCCCTAGCTGGTGCCTGTAGAGTAGGGAATAGAAATAAGTATCTCTTTTCTGTGGATGTGTAGCAGGTAAGGCCTTAAGCAAAAAGAAAATTTTACATTGTTCTGTCTCCTTTCAGTGAAGAAGCTGTACATTTCTTTGCTGCTCCTCTGGTGCCCTTGCCACGTCTTTGAGGCAGACACAGGGGAAGCAGTGGTGCTGATAAGAGTGAATCAACTCATCAAGACATGTAATGATTTCATAGTCAGGAAGAGCCAGGCTGGCAATGTTGAGGCCCAGCATCCGCGAGACCACCTCTCGGAAATCTGCCAGCTGCAAGAGTAAACAGAAAGGAATAAATCAAATAGCAAGCAGAGGAGATGTCTGGGAACACACATACATATTTGCATACATGCAAACACAAGCATTTGTATTTTTGGTGCAAAATATAGGCATTTCTGCTGTTGCTCAATACAAAGAGCAGAGGTGGCTGCAAAAAGCCACTTAGGGGCATACGTCAAGTCACAAAACATAAACAGCCAAGATGTTAAGTATCTCAAACAAAAAGCACAGTTTCAAGTGTTTTTAGTATCTTTCACAGGCATATCTTCCCTGCTAACTCAACTGCAAAAACTGAGGAAAACACAGGCAGAGGAGCTGTACTTGACTCAGATGACCAGAAGCTATACAGACGGCTGCAAACTCTGATGGGCACAACCCAGAGTACGGGCTAAGATCCTGGTCCTTGACCACTGTTTGCCACTGCTTCTCTCCATCCTGCACTTTCTTGTGGAAACCACAGCAGAAAGGAAGAAGTTAGAAGAAAGGTGGAAGTTTGGCACATTCCTTGGTCTAACTTTGATTTGAATCAAGATACAGCCCAAATTCAAGATGCAGCTTGGGAAATGCTTGTTTTTCTTCTCTGCATAGCTGCTGAAAATATATCATAGGAATTTGACAAAGTAATTCAAGACACCAACTTTCTGCAGTTCCAAATGGACAGACATCCACAACTAATTGTCATCACTAGTGACACCACCAGTAACTAGATTAAAAACTTAAGGTCAGTTGAACATTAATGCTGATTTGCTCTTCTCAACTCTTAATATGGATGATTACAAGTCGAACTGCAATGCCTCTTCAATGGACAATGCATTACACAGTCAAAATCATAAATGCCTTAATACCCCTTATCATCAGCACACAAAACAGGGAAATGTTCCTATTTAAGGAAATATTCTTGTCTTGCTATCTATTTGAATGCCAAGATCCCCATTCCTAAACATGAAAGTGACTGAAAATGTCATAGAATCATCAAAATCATCAAGAAACTGCACTCATGCTCTGGTGTGGCATCCTCCTCACTCCACGTTAAGGAGGAGATAGACACACTCTTGAAATATGTGTCCAACCCCAATAGTACTGTGCAGAATTCTAAAGCAGTTATACAACACCTGTGAGGAAAGGTTTTTGAAGCCTTTCGTGAAAACAAGGTCTCAGTTCCAAGACTTTACCAAAGACAGTTTGGTTCATCCCAGAACAAACCCTGAGGAGCTGCCATCAGTTCAGAAACACAAAAAGGAAACCACAACAGTCTAGGACTGGTGTCTGGAGTCCTCAGCACAAGACAGACATGGACCTGTTAGAGTGAGTCCAGAGGAGGGCCACAAAGATGATCAGAGGGCTGAAGCACCTCCGCTATGAAGTCAGGCTGGAAGAGTTGGGGTTGTTCAGCCTGGAGAAGGCTCCAGCGAGACCTCATTGCAGCCTTCCAGTACTTAAAGGGGGCTTATAAAAAAAGAGTGAGAGTGACTATTTACACAAGCATGTAGGATAGGAAAAGGGGAAATGGTTTTAAACTAAAACAGGAAGATTAAGATTGGAATGCTAGAAAGAAATTCTTTACTCAGAGGGTAGTGAGGTACTGGAACAGGTTGACTAGAGAAGTTGTGCATCCCCATCCCTAGGAGTGTTCCAGGCCAGGTTGGATGGGGCTTTGAGGAACCTGATCTAGTGGAAAGTGTCACTGCCCAAGGTGGGGGAGTTAGAACCAGATGATCTTTAAGGCCCCCTCCAACACAGACCATTCTATGATTTTACTATTAGAGAATTCAGGCCCAGCTGTCTGTATTACCAAGACAGTGCAATGTCTTCAATGAAATGTTGGAACAATGTTAACACCAAAAACCCCTTAAGTTCCCAGATATTATCTTCAAAACCAATTCAGGAGGTCACTGATGCTGGGCTCTGGCAGTGTGCTAAGCAAGTACCATATAACAGAAGCTAAAGATATTTTTAAACATCTGAATCACAGACAGGATGAGCAGTCAGCAAAGCTGGAATTTGTTTGATCCAGCCTTTGGACTAAGTACACTCCCAAAAGAACCTATACAGCAAACCCAACTGATCTTTCATGAGTACATTAGGGTCTGCACTTTGCACTAAATTTCTTGCTCTCATATCTTTGCTGCTGCAAGCTGTTCAACTTAATTACAGCAACTGTGAGTAAACCAAATTGTATTACAACCATGTAACAAATGTAATAATCAAATCAAATTTGATGCACTGACACTGATTATTGATCTGGCAGGATTTGGCCAAAGGGAATAGATACAAAGTAAAACATTTACACAATCACCTCACCCTTTATTTCTGATGGGAAAAGCAGGTCATACCTATATTGAATGGACAATAAACACATCAAGAATTCAATGACTTTCATCAGCAAATAACCTAAAGTGGAAAGCACAGAGAGCCCTTAAAGAAAGCATGTAAGCCATTCATTTATGTGAATTTTTAGACAGAAAGACTTTTTTATTATATTGTATATAAAGTACAGTGCAGGCAAAGTTGTAGTTCATTGAAAAGGCAGAAAAAGGGTTGATGACAAAGAAATATTCCACATAAACTGACAGAGAGAAGCATTGCTCTTGGCTGCAACAAAGGTATTAAAAACACAACAGGTCTGCTGAAATACTAGAATCTAACAGAAGAACCACCTCCCTATCTAAGGTTTTCTTCAGTAAAATTCCTAAGATAATCACAATTTGAAATAAACGAGAGAAATAAAAAAAGATAAACATCACTCAAGATCCAAAACCAAAGTTATGCTACAGCAGTGAGCACTCCTGCTAAATTTTCTTTGCACCTTCCATTCAGTGAGTAAAATTATCTGAAATAAAAAATCATGAAATTAATGCAATTTAGAGCATTAACCCAAGATACTGCAGGGCAGGGCTTTGGGGAAGTAAAAAGATTTCCAAGAAAAAAGATGCCCAGGTTGTTGGTCTTCTCTCCATGTAAATAAAAAAATATTTTTCTAGACTAATTTTTTTAAATAACATTCTTAAATTTCATCCAGAGTCACTGTTAAGGCTGACATATGGCATAAAATTTTTAGCTGGAAAACCTAATATTCTAAGCAGTTGAAACAAAAAATTTAAAATTATAATTTTTTTACTTTGAATAAGCATCCCATTAGCTTTCAACAATTATGCCATCTATAACATTGCTACAAAACACAACATGCAGGGCAATAACATACATGGTTCACAATTTTTTTTAATTAGAATGGAACACATTTACTAATACGTTTGCCACAAACTACTTACACCCTCCCCAAGGTAAATTACCACAAAACTTTTTCTGACCTAAATAACAAAGTTATATATCGTAAATTGATCCAAAATAGTTACATTCAATATTAAGTTGGGGGGGGGGGGGTGCGGTTGGAGTTTTTTCTTGTATTTTTCAACATCCTTTAAGTTTATGGCCTATACACAGTAATGCAGAACCATAGAATCATTTAGGTTGGAAAAGACTTTTAAGATTATCAAGTCCAACACTTAAGCTACGTTGCCAAGTCCATCACTAAACCATGCCTACACATCTTTTAAATACCTCCAGGATTGGTGACTCAACCACTTCCCTGGGCAACTTATTCCAATGCCTGACTACCCTTTCAGTCAATAAATTTTTCCTAATATCCAATCTAAACCTTCCCAGCACAACTTGAAGCTGCTTCCTTTCATCCTACCCCTTAGCCTTGCTGAGTCTCACACAAGGAGAAAGTCCAAGAGACATGAATAAGAAATGAGAGGAAATGGATGAGAAGTTGGTAAGTTTTATGCCTAAGATATCTGGAAAAAGACTTACGTTAAAAGAGATCCCATGATTTTAAAGCATTTTATTAGCTCTTTAAAAGGTTATATAATATTTTGTGATGAACAAAGTATTTATTACCTGTATTTATTATTCTATTGCAAAACTTTGCCTCTCAGAATCACAACTGTCATTCTGACTCACAAGAGTGAGCTAAAATTTCCTTATTTAATGATGTTCAGAACAATTTTAAGCACAGTTGGATAGCTGCTCCACATATACCACATTCTTATATTCTAAGGGACCGCTAGCACTTATCAAATACCTATACACCTACCTGTCTCTCTCTTTTTGCTAGTTCTGCAAGGGTTGTTTTAAGCACCTTCATTTCACTGGTAACTGCTTCTAATATATTTTGGTTTTTTTCTTTATCTTCAGTAGCTTTACGTTCCTTTAAAAGAAGTTCTGATTTGACAGATCTAAGTTGTTTCTCAGCTTTTTCTTTCATTCTTTCCAATTTGCCTTGAGACTTATTGAGTTCTTCTATTGTTCTGTTCTGCTCCAAAGTTTTGATCTGCAATAAGATAAAGAAGCGTTAAATTTTTCATACTTTTTCATCTAATGTGAACAAATAAGCAATCATGAATAAGCACTTTAATGTGGGTTCTTATGGGTTCTTGATGAAATCACATGTAGACAGGAACAATTAAAATTTAGCATCTTGCCTGTTGTATGCCAGAAAAAAAGCCATTTTCCCCCCATATCTATATGAATAGATCTTCTGCATGTAATGTATGGGAAAAGAGATTACAGCCACATCAACAGGAAAGAAAAGGATGCATATATCATATTTTCTTACACTACTCTGAAAATTTACATTGTGCTTTACAGACACTTCTTAGCATATCAATAAAAATTGCAAAATACACCAAAACATTTTAATATTATATTTGCTTTTGCCACCTAGATAGATTTGAGCAGTTCTCTATGAACACATTTATAAATGAACTCCAGCTGTATACAACTGGAACAGAAAAATGACAAGAAGCGCAAACGTAACCTTTTAGCTCACCTTAAGTTCATTGGTTTCAGACAGTTTGGCTTTGAGATCAGTATTCGTTTCCTTTGCCACATCAAGCTGCTTCTGTAACCTCTCTATCATCTTATGTAAATTTCTGACAGCAAGATTGGCCTCATCCCTTTCCACAGCTAAGGCAGTCCTGATTTGCTTCTCTTCTTCCAGCTGGGTTACTTTCTGCCGCAGAAGGTTCACGTGAAGCTCTTTGCTTTCAAGTTTTTCCTTCTGAGTCTTCAACTTGTTTTCCAAACACAAGGATATTTGAAAAAATATATGTGAATGACAGTGGTACTACACAGATTGTTTTGCAAATTTAATCCCTGTGTTGCACATATAGCCTGAACTCCTTTTCTTCTCTTGAAAACTGTGTAAAGAAGTATCAGTATATATACACTAACTTGATACTCCTTATATTACCAATTAATTGTGCTTCTCCATCCCTGAATTTGTGCACTGCCTTTTAGAATGATTTTACACAGAGACTTCATCCTATTTGAACATAAATACTTGTGCATCACTCATAACATCTGAGATTGCCTGAAGTATAAGACACCAGTCAAATGCAAGATGCAAGAGAGATTCATTAAGGAGACAGTGGTTTCAGTGGTGGTAGTTTAAGGTGTTCCAGAAGGAGAAGCAACATACAGAAATAAGGAATCTTTCATCCACTGCTCCAATGCCAGGTCCAGCAGCCTAGTTTTTTAATTTTGCTGCTGAAGGAGCTACTTGTTTTCAGTTTATCTGAACTGAGCTGCCAGGCTTTACTCTGGAACATCTGAGGAGTATTGATATACATATACTCCCTGCTAGAGAGGCAGTTGCTTCATAAAAAAAAAAAAGAAATACAGTACTGTTTTAAACCTTAAAGAGACTCCAATTCTCAGCTCCTCACCAGTCTGATAAGCCTAAACTCTAAAGATTTCACTGTGTTATAACACGATGATGGAGGGATGTTTGACCAAATTTGAACAGATTTGGATTTGTTCCTGAAGGAAATATTGAATGAAGGAACAGTTCTTGTTGAAAACATTGAAATTCTTGGTGAAGTACAACCAACACCCTGCTAGTTTCTAGAGAAGTTTGTATTATATATCCCCCTCCCCAGCAGATCCTTTCAGATTTAAATATTGATGGTAGTTGTTTACAGAAGAATGTTATAAATGTCTATTAAAAAGTAGACACAAACACATATCATATGTTCAACCCACTGGTGGGTTTAGTTGTTTTAATATGCAGTCTGTCTGCACAGTTTGCAAACGTTTGCTATCTTCTTTTTATGAAATGGACATCTTTGAAATTTGTTGTACATATACAATCTGTTGCTTCTAACAAACCACTACAGAAATATAGCCATAGTAATGTTTATCTTTGAAACAAATAGTAAAGGTATGTCGTTTTTGCATACCTTCCTTCTGAGGCTGTGTGCCACAGTCTTGTTTTCAATCACTGCATCACCTTCCAGTTTCACTAACTGCTCTACCCGGGCTAGAATTGCATCCATATTCATATCAAATCCAAACTCTGCTGCTAGACTATCCAGCTTCATCTTCTCGTTCAGTTGCTCCAGAAATTTCAGATACTAAGATAAGGTGTGGAAAAGTGGGTGAAAGAATAATAAAACCTCATTAAAAGTCTTGAAGTACAATTTAAAAGCAATCCCCCCTACACCGGCATTCAACGATATATAGCAAAGTACATGATCCACAAGAAATAATAAAGGCTATGTTTACAGTACACACTCCTGACACAATTGCAAATTCTCCATATGTACTTATTTAGCCAACATTTATTCTGTTCATAAATCCCTAGACCTACTGTATTTATCTTCTTAGTAAGACAAGATTCATTTTTGCTTCTCTGCAGCACTAGGTACGTCTCTGCTTCTGACTCCAGTTCCTGTCTGGAGCTCTGTTGCTTTACATGGATAGGCACGGGCAGGGAGAAGTTAGAAAGGACAGTTACATCCTAACTAATAACTGCAAGTGCTGCGATTGCCCAGTACTGTGACTTTTAAAACAGATATAAATGATACCAATGATGCCATCCAATGTAGTCTGAGAAGACATAGGAATATTAACATGGTCTGTCTTTAGCTGTTCTTTGGAAGAGCAAGGTTTAGAAAGAGCAAGGTTTGGAAGAGCAAGGTTTAGAAATAACAGCTGCTGGTATAAAAATTGCTTTTATGATTATTTTAATTGCATCTCTATCTGGTGATGAACACATACAGATATGAAATATTATTCAATCTGTTTTTTCCTTCTTTGTTCTGCTCTGCTAGCTTTTTAAAAATTGCATTAGTTCCCTGCTCTCAATTAGCCTCTCTTGCAAAATCTAAAGCTCTCCTTCTGACTAAGAACTATGTTTCCCTTTGTTTTCTCTTACTTCTTTTGCAGACCATAATCTTTGCAAAGAACCAACAAAACAAAGAAAAACCCACCAACAAACCAGTTTCATTACTAGTTCATTAGCAAGAATATCCTTTTGTTTTGTGATGCTTCTGGTTCAAAAAATTAAAAACATCAGCAGCAGAAGAAAACACTGAAGTTGTGCATTAACAGGAAAAAATCACAACAAGAATCTCTTTATTGCAGCACAATCTAGAGGCAAATTTTAGAATCTAGGGCCAAATGCTCTTAACAGAGGACGTAGAGAGGAAGAAACAGATCCTTTGTCTGGTTTTCTCCCAGTATGGTGGCAGTTTCATTCATAGAAGTTACTGTATTATAGCCTAAGGCAAAACAAATAGCACCAAACTGTTGGTTCTTTGCAAATCCAACTTTCTAATCACTGACCTTGGCCTAGCAACATGCTATAACTTTGTCTTTCTTAGCTGCATTGGATGGCTGGTTTGGCTTTCTGGGTACTACGCCATTTTTCAAACTTTTAGTATGTGAATGTGTTACAGGTTAACAGTGTGTTCATTCATCCAATTAATAAAAAAATCCTGGTAGCCATGATTGTCCAAGAACATAAAAGAAACAAAGACTGCAAGAGAGATTGCAGACTGGATGATATACTACAGAAAGACACAGAGATCAGAGAATGCTTTGAAACCAGAGAATCATACAAAGACCTCTGATGTATTTACAGAGACTTCTTTTAAGCTGCTTTTGGGGTGTTTTTTTTCCACAATAACGGACTTGGAACTCAACAGCTTAGCTTTTTCCAACTGCAATTGTTGGTCAAAGAAAAGATATTACTACCCTCTATGTGTTGTCTGATTTTGCTAATTTGCATTATTTGGAGTGTTGTGAGTAATGCTTCAGATGACCAATGCAATACAATCAGCTGTATCTGTCCTTAGTGACTATTATCCAAAATTAAATAACATGTGTAACTACTTTTTGTTTCTCAAGCTTCAAACCATCCTGCATCAGATCTATAGTAAGTAATTCTTCTTCCAAGTGTTTCAGTTGATCCTGGAAACTCTCAGAACATTTTTCAGCTTTCCTGCTCCTCTCCAGAGCTTTGTGGTACAATCTGGTCTGATTTTCCAAAGCTTCAGTCAATTTAGCGATTTGGGTTTCAAGTTGAGATACCATCTAGGTAGCAAGCAAAAGAACAAAATATATGGAGTTAGGTGGGTGCGGAAATGCTAGAAAGATATGAAAGATGCACCATCAAATTACTAAAAATATGGTAAAATACTTATCTTTAAAATGTATGCATTTACAAAGACAAAAAGAGAAAAATCTGTTGTAACTACCAAGAGAAAATGGCAGAAGCAGTGACATGTGAAACATCCAAAACTGAACAGCAGAAACCATGTATGAGTCAGATGACTAAAAGGGACTGCTATTAAAAAAACAATAAAAACTAATTAGACACAAAATTTCTAAAGATGTGAGCACAGCAGCAATACCTGGTAGTCAGCTATCATTCTTTAAAACAAGCCAATAAAATCACTAGTCTACTAAGTAGCTGAGTAGAAAAAACAGATAAGTGATTTAGAAAATACATGCAGCACGTAGGGGAGAATGTAGATATGGATAACTAAGCCTCAGGAGTGTTTCCCAATTGTTAACTGTAAAAGAGTGTTTAACTAAAAGATTTTGCTAAAAAAAAAGATAGTAATAATAATTTCTGTTATCTAGCCAGAGCTCAAGGATAAAAGGATAAAATCTCATAACAAGCAACTAGACTAACAATCTTGAAAACATTTCTAGCTGTATACTGTTTACAACACCTACATATAATGTAATGGACTTTAAGTTGCAAACTACTTATCAATTAGACGCTTGAAAGCATCTGGTTACACTGTTGCCAAATACTGAAAGGCAGTTCTATCCCAAAAGTTGCTTGCTTCCCTCTAACTGTCATATAAATTATTTGGTTACACAATTAATTATATTGCATTTGTAACTCAGTGTTCAGACACTCATCTCCAAGCAGCCTCTTCATTTTAAGCATCTGGTTGGTTCCTGCTAATAAAATGAACAATAGGCACACAAAGCTCCCATTAATTTTGTTGGCACTGAAAGGTTTCCAATTCAAACTGCAATTAAATACAAACAACAGTTTGCACCCAACTTGCCAAAAAAACACTGAGAAATTAGTGCTGCTCATACAGCAGTAGAAAAAACTAAACAATAATAAAACTGCAAGAACCCACACACATATTTTATGCTTTTTGCATCAAAAATCACTCAGCAGGAAAAAAACAGTTTCAGTAACTTGTTCCCCCAGAGATGTGCTGCTGTTAGAGAACCCAGAGCCCCCACAGAGTGGCCCTGGGTGTAGCCCAGCTACAAAATACCTTTTGATTTAATGTGTGATAATAGTCCTCACTGACAAAATTAATAAATGCCCATGTAAGCAAGGAAGTGAGAAACCTCAGTGCAGTGTCAGGATACTGATATTGGTCAGACTGCATTCTGACTTCCTCCTGAGTTGTCCCTTCTCTACCTGTACATTCAAACACAGCTTTGCAAACACTACCAGCCAAAACGCCTCAAGCCAGAGCCAGCTGCCTTCCTTGTATGGTGAACAATGTTTAACTGTAAGTGTAAAAATACTTCTTTATTTTCAGATGCAGGTTTTGAGGATTACAGGGAAAAAAGTTGCCTGGGACAACTCATCAATTTTATCTGCTTTGAGAAAGAAGTCACTATTGTAGCAGCAAATCCATGCCTCCATGCTTGTTCACAACCACATAGCCACTTTTGATGTCTGCCGGCACTGAAACCAAATTTCAATATTTTAACGGAAAGACCATTCCAACTCTTTTCTTCCTAACAGCATCTATTATTAATTTAATTTCTGAACTCTTCCTACTTAATAAAAAAAGATGCTTTTCACCTATTACCTCAAATCAACTGACAACAAAATTAAAGGTTTCTGTAATTTCAAAACCTAAGCAGAAGGAACCAAAACTCTACCAGAGGAAAAAAATGAAACAGGATCCAAAGAGAATAAATACACACATTGGGCAAGTGCAGTAGTTGCTGACTTACTATTTGTTTACTCTCCTCTTTACAATTTATTTCTCGAATTCTCTCCAAAATGGCCTTCTCGGACGGTTCAACTATTGCAGATCCACTGCTGAGCAGGGTAGCAATTTGTTCTTTAAAAGCCTCTAAAGAGCTCCAAGCAGTCCTGGCTTCTGCTCTGCTGCTCTTCAAGCTTCCATCTAACTCGGCAGAAGATTTCTTCAGACTGTGCAGTTCCCTCTTTGAGGTGTCCAAGGCTTTCTGGTTAACAGTCAGTTTATCTTGGAGGTTTCTGACCTCCATCTCTAAACTCTGTCTCTCTATTGTAGCGCTGTCAAGATCCTATAATGCGTGAAAAATTAAACAGGATTTTTTAAATCAGTTATAACCCCTCCCCACCATACACATATGAAGGAATAACTCAGATGCAGGTACTGCAGATAGAGAAACTAGGACCCATAATGCTCACATGGATTCAACATCAGGGTTTCGTAGGAGAACTGCTATTGAAACTGATAAAAGGCCAAAGTCTGCAGTAATCACTCTATAGATTAACCTCTGGCATTGGCCTGCAGGAAGGAATACATGCATAAAATTTGCAGGTTTAAAAAAACCATTTTTTAATTGTAAAACTATTGATATCTTATTTTTCCATTCAGATAATATGACCTGAAAAACAGTGAACAAGATGTAACACTAATAAAGCCAAAGTACTACAACTCAGATAGGAAAGGATAGGATAGCATAGCATATTTCAGTTGGAAGGGACCTGCAGTGGTGATCAACTCCAGCTGCCTGAGCAATTCAGAGTTGACCAAAACAATAGACACAATCTGTCTGAAAATAGTGATAAGAGGTGATCTCTGAGATCAGCTTACTTAATGTGACAAAAATTCCTGAGATTATCTATACACAGAAATGGGAAGTGAAGGACCAAACAAAGGCTTGGTTGGGAAACAATGAAATATAGCCAGTACATACATATCTGTATCAGTTATATATAAAATACTGACCTAACAGGGCAAAGCAGAATCTCTTTCCCCACAATACCAATATTAAGAGTGCCTACATATTCATATACAAGAAAAATATTTGCAGTGAAACCAACTAAAAGTATAACAAAGACTAAGTCTTCATTTCTCAAGGCATTATCTGATTGAAAAGAACAAATGGGAAAGAATATTACTTCACACATGACACAAAAGGAAAGAATATTACTTCACCCAAGACACAAAATTATGACAGAGGACAGCATATTTACAGAGAGCGATTGAATTCCTCTGAAAGTCTCAGTGGTTAGTAGAGGTTCATTAAGTGGACTGATACGAGTTAAGATTGTGTACACTGGAATTAAAGAATTGTTTCTGGAGCAGTAATGAATATGGTGAGTACTCAAGGGTCTCTCAGGGTCTATGTGTGCTTGCTGTAGTCATTTGTATCAAGAGAATATGTGCCAATCAAGGAGCAGATCTGGGAGCATTTACATAGATCAGCAGGGAGGATGGACAAAAGAGGAGTTTGCAGAGCACCCTTAGAAAATATAAACATACGATTCTAAAAATAATTAAATTTTTAATAGCTTCAAAATGGGAAACATGCAAAAACACAAACAAAACCAAACCCTGTCACTTAGGACATTATTTGTTACTATAGTAATTGTACTAAATACTAAAGTAATTATAGAACTGTTTTAGAAACATGTTGGCATGATTCCTTGCCATTTTCTCTTTTTTATTCTAAACAAGTCCTATTAATAGGAAATTCCCACCTGTGCCCAGAATTACATTATGGTAATTACAGCAAAGAATAAAGAGTAATTTATTTCAATTACAGTTTTCAGCAGTGTGTATTTTTCCTTCCAGAAAGGCAGTGCTAAATTAGTTTGCCAGTACCAGGGATCTTATCTAATTACAATCTTGTTTAAATTGTGAACATCTGAAAACAAACACAGTCAAATCAAAAGATCAAGGTATAAAATAAGGAAGTGCAAGCCACCAAACACTGGCTGGAAAGCTGCCCAGCAGAAAAGGACCTGGGTGTGCTCACTGAACGTGAGCCTGCAGGTGCCCAGGTGGCCAGGGGCATTCTGGCCTGTATCAGAAATAGTGTGGCCAGCAAGACTACAGAAGTGATTCTCCCCCTGTACTCAGCACTGGTGAGGCCACACTTCGAATCCTGTGTCCAGTTCTGGGCCCCTCACTGCAAGAAAGACATTGAGGTGCTGGAGCATGTCCAGAGAAGGGCAATGGAGCTGGTGAAGGGTCTGGAGCACAAGTCTTGTGAGGAGCATCTGAGGGAGCTGGGGTTGCTTAGCCTGGAGAAAAGGAGGCTCAAGGGAGACCTTATCACTCCCTACAACTGCCTAAAGAGGTTGTAGCCAGATGGGGTTTGGCCTCTTCTTCCAACTAACAAGCGATAGGACAAGAGGAAATGGCAGCCCCATAGTGCATCACGGGAGGTTTAGATTGGATATTAGGAAAAATTTCTTTACTAAAAGGGTTTTCAAGCACTGGAACAGGCTGCCCAGGGAAGAGGTGGAGTCCCCATCCCTGGAGGTATTTGAAAGACCTGTGGATGTGGCACTGAGGGACATGGTTAATGGTGAACTTGGCAGTGCTGGGTTAACAGTTGGACTCAATAATCTTAAAGGTCTTTTCCAACCTAAATAATTCTATGATTCTATAAATACCAGTACCTCAATCAGCATCAGGGTTTCAATACAGTAAGTCAACTACACATACATATAAAGAACCCACATTACATTAACAGTAATAAGAAGGCACAAAAGAGAATGCAGGTATTTTCTAGATGAATTCTTACACCACCTGCATCTCGTTACCACTGTTATACCATAAGGATTGTAAACTAGCTTGCTCTCATCTTCTCTGATGATTCAACCTGAAAATATCTGTGATGCCTGCTGAAACCTGTCTCAAATATGTATTTTCTTAATGACATCATATAAACAAAAAAGAAAAAAAAATCCAGGTTCTGAGAAACTCATTCTTTTATTTGTCTGTTGGGACAAGAAAAACCTAAAATCATGTGCTTGTCTCTCCTGCAATCTAAGTATTTGGGTATATTTAAAATGGCTATTTTAGGCAGCTATGTTTCTCAAGTTTAATCAATTTCCTTAAATAATATTTTTATATTTTAATTAACTGGTTTTATACAGTCAATTTATTTTAATAAATGCATATTGATTAGAAACTACTTAGGTAAATTTTATTCACTAACATAACAATACAAGACAATATTGAATACTGAAGAGTATTTTCTTGGTTAATTTTTGCATCAGAATATTTGTATTCATTAAAATTGCTTGATTATATTTCAAGTATGTTCTTTAAAGATTTTGCATGGCGCACATCTTTACAAAACACATGTTTAAAACAGCACTTCAGAGTGAAATCACAAGTATTTCCAGGTTGAATAATCAGCAAAGATGTGAAATAAAACAAGATAATCCACTAATTTTTGTAGTTCATCAATGGCAATGCTGTATGAAGGGTAAATTATAATCTGGAAGAATATATGCATCCTTTTCTATACCTTAGATAAATACCACAGAGGAGTTTATTAAATATTAGAAAGAAACTTTGTTAGAACTAATAAGACATTTTAAAGGACGTACAGACACTCTCAAATAGTGTTATAATTCTGTAATTATGATTAGCATAATCAATAACCGCTGTCTGGACACACAGAAAGAAAGAACAGGTATTCTCATTCTTGAAATCTAGGGAGCATTTAAAAGTCATTTTTCATCAAATGCAAATTTGATATCCAGCACAGCCACAATAATGGTATGCACAATATTTACAGATTTCTAGGAGCAAACTCTTGCAATAGTCTGTCAGAAATGTGAGAAGTTCAGAATTCTAAAAGAACAGTAATACATTACAACAAAAATAGCTTCTTGACTTCATTTTTTTTACTTACATATTTTACTTATATACAGTTTCAAGACTGTATTGGTTTTTATTCTTTGCTGCTTGCTATTGTCATACAGTGAGACAGAGGGGAACAGATAAAATTATTGTTCACTTGCTAATGTTCCTTGAATTAAACCCAAATAACTGCAACCCATACGTATCAAACATGTTAAGAACATTTTGAATGTATTAACCTTAAAACATAACCAACTGGATTTCATTTTCTTCATTAAGAATTTTGGAATACAGACAGCTTATCTCCTTCCAGGACATAAAGAAAAGCACCTGGTCAAGAGAAGGAGTTCACAGAAATCATAAGGAGCAGGAGTGGAAAACTACCTGGCAATTAAAACTAGCAATTATTCAGAGAGGTGGCAGGGAACAATGCAGTGTCTGACTCTTGCTAGAGATGATTGACAGACCAGTGTGATGGTCTCTATATGCTTAGAAAACATTTTAAGAGAAAAGTGGCAGAAATGGGCTGCCATCTCACTGAAGATGGCCAAAATGTCTGGTCCTGAGAGCTTCGGGCACACACAGGCGTACTTGTATTCAACCTCTGCTGGGTAAACTCAGCTACAGGCAATTCCATTAATTAAGTTCAGAAAACAGCTGAGCATGAGTCTTCTGGCACAGGAACAGTATGGATTTCTGCTTTTTGCCTTTACAGGGGAACATTTTACATGTGCAACTCTGTTCATGTGCTTAAACTGTGCAGCAAAGTATATGATAAGGTCCAACTGAGTTTATGCTGCTGGTGCCCTCCCTGTAACCTACTAAGACACTCATCCACACAACAGGGGATCCCATACATCACACTTTACATGTGAGGATTTAAGTATTTTTTGGTTTTTTTACTTACCTTTTCAATACTGAATTTCTTACTATGCTTTTGTGAACACAAAACCTTCAGACACAAACAGATTTACTCAGTGTCTGCTAACGTAAGTAGCTAAACTGAAAAAGCACTGGAGGAATCTTCAGCCTCTAGATAAGCCCCGATGGCATACACTTCATTTGAAAGGCAATGCTAATAATTTAGAAAGACATTTCTGTAAAATTAGTTAAATAAATTATGTATTTGGCATATGCACAATAATGATAGGAAAATATTTTTTGTAAAACTAGCTCAACTTAGTAAATGCTTTGGCAGTCAGAGCAAACTTGCAAAACAAGTCACAAAGGAAGCCCTAATCTTGGTTTAAAACATCTCCTGATTCTGGTTTACTTAGTAAGTAAACTACACTCTGTTCTTTCTCACACACCTGTGTTTGAAATGAAGTATGAGAACAAAATGTTCTCAAAAAGGACCTGTTTAAGTTTTTGTGCAGGTTCTCCCTCAGTTCCACTGAGTCTTAGAAAATTTAACACAGCTTGGTAAGAGCTATTTTCAGCAGTGAGTAAAATTTATGACCCTTGTGGTACTTAACATTTATCTTCCCCACAACAAATTCTTTCTTCTCCAGAGTACACTGCCAGCTATTTCTCATCTCCTAAGTATTTTGCTTACAACCAAATCAGAACACTATATCCTTTAAAGTGTACGGTGGCGGTCTTTTGTTCAGACAAAAAAAGAATGCTGGGGGTGGGGAAAATGCTGTATTACATTTGAAAACTCACTTGCACAAGGTTGCCTTTATGCTTAAAATTTCTTCAAACTCAATTGCACACACTCAGCTACATATCTGGCAGTCTAAATTTCATCCCTTATTTTCTTAAGTTCTGGCCATCAGCTTTAATCACACTGTTCCACCCGTGGGAAATTTTCATTATGGGCTGCTTCCTTTCCACAGTTACCACTCAAAGTACAAAGCAATGAGGAAAACTGCTACAGAAATATTCTTTGTTTGTCCATCATTTGAGATGTACAAACTCTTAATGGCAAGTTCTCCTGGAGCAATTAAATCTTTAAATCATGTACTTTTCCTTTCCAAATCATAGCTAGGTGAATTTGGTGAATACCTGACTTACAGCTTAACTTACATTTCTCATTTGAGCATCTTTCCTGCTGCAGAGATTTCCTCTATGGCTCCCCGAGAGTAAAACAGTGCTTTCCTGCAAGAGCCATCCTACTGCCTACAACTTTTTGGGTATGAGCCAACAGTTATGAAATACAAATTTATAATGCAGTGAAAAGATAATCTAGGGTGTCTGGAAGCCAAGACACTTTACCTTCCATTCCTTAAGAGAAAGAATAGTGTCTTATCAATTCCTTTCAATTTCTCATTAGAATTTTTGAGGAAACTGAGTAAAAGAAATCTCAGAAAACTTGCAGTATCATATAAATGTTATTTAAAAGAGCATTTTTTCATGTTGCATGCTTGTGCCTCAGATGTACTCATTAACTCTATGCACATTTGTTTATTTACATGTTTGTGTAAGCACAACAAAGGCTACAACAATACCAAGAAAGCAAAAGTAGAAATTTGCAAACAGCATTGGAAGACATCAAATCTGCATCAAATCTATTTTACAAAATGTTTTTGTTTCATCTCTATGTATTCTGAAACTTTAAAAAAGTTGAGAATAACCTCAGAAAAATGCCTTTTTTAGAAAAGACCCTAATTGACCTAAGTTTTTCAGAAGCATTTTTTCTCATACAATTCCTATTGAAAATTAATTTGAAATGTCAAGAAAACATTTGAAAACTAGACAAACATACAAGTAATGCAATTATGTACCTTACTAAGTTTTTCCATGTCTTGACAGTATCCTGCCACCTTTTTTTGCTCCTTTGTCACTTCTGAAACTAGCCTCATGATAGTTTCTCTGCTAGCTTTAGACTCCATCTCACGGACATTCACAGCTTCTTGAAGAGCAGCAACCTGGTCTTTTAGTGTCAGATTTTCTTTACATATTTCAGAGACCTTGAGAAATAATTCAAGTTTTAGTAGCTTCTTAAAAGCACTTAAAAATTACATATATTCATCCCCGTATACCTGCTCCTAATTATCCCAATAAAGAAATGGTATTCCTGGTGACCCCTATGTCAGATTTATAACTGCACTCTGCTACTCATTTATAAAAGAGTAGAAAGACAATTAAAATCATAGAATCGTATTTTTAACCATAAACCCCCACCTTAGTATAAAGTGGGTCATATTTACTCCAACACAAACTTTATGATCTATTAAGCAGGTGGAGAGCTACTGCTGCTGCATATCCGTGCTTGACATGAAGGTCAGAAAAAAGATCACGTAACTGCTTCATGTGAAAAGCAGACAATTTCAGCCTGGCTTTTTAAGTTGTGTGCCTTTCATCTGGAACAAGAAAGCTGCAATTTATGCTCAAAACTTTTTAGGCAAAGGAGATTTGAGTTAGTAGCAGACATTTCATAAGTAATTCAAGGGCAGGGGCAAATACATGGTGTGCTGCCATTATGAGCTGCCAACACCTCGGAAAAAGGAGTCCTTTCCAGGAGTATTCTAGGGCTGTTTTGGTACGTTATGCTGTTTCCAATAACTGGAATTAATGAATGTGGGCACTTCAAAGAGTGAGTAAAAAACGTACCCTGATTCCTACTGGCAAGACATTTGTTAAGACTAAAACAGATCAATTCTGTCTTAAATAAAACCATAACATGGAAAAGAAGCTAAACAGATGTGCTAAGACCCAAGAAAAATGAGTTGCTAAGGTTTCCTAATGCACACAGTTTTCAGGACAATTAGATTTCCCAACTACATTTATTACTACATCGTTAAAAGACATCAACATAGATTTTTTAAAGTTCCAATTACCAATTACATTAATTTATTAAAGTATGAAAGAGTGCCTCTTGCATGAGATCTAGCTAAATTTTGTTAGAGCACCCATTACAATTTCAATGTGCTTGCAATATTATGTAATATTATGAGGGCAAGTACTTTAAGAAATCACTGTGATACATACCTAGATAATCTTAATTTATTAAGACAGAACTCTTACAATGATGTGAACATAATGAAACAGAATTTCCCCAAATACCTCATGTGCTCCAAAGAAAAATAAGGATATCAAAGACTAGACAGAAGACAAGTAAAATGCATAAAATTAGACTAAAATGTCTTTCAACAGCATTGACAGAGGTTAAAAGAACATCCAAACAATTTTCCTTTCCTAAATGGAAGCTTAGTTTTTGGAACTTCGGAAGTATTCTGAAGAGAAATAGTAGTGGTTTATGATTAAGTCTCAGAAACACCACAAAGTTATTTACAGCATTTTATTACAGGGCACAGTTAGGGTTGCTTTAGAGTATGCCATTTCAGATGTTTCTATTTATTGGTATGTTGGCCCGAGATAAGTGTAAAGACCTAGTGCCATATGTTTACACATCACCTAGTGACTCCCAGTGTTAATGTTTTCAGGAAAGCTTTCAACCAAGTATCTAATCAGGGCTGTACTCGGGAACTCGGCTGATAAAATATTTATGCAGATAAGAGCAGACTGAGTTCACTGAGGTCTATGAGTGTTCAGCACCTTTGAAAATTAGCCCAACATGAAAAAAAAAGTCTGTCTTAAATGACAGCGCTGTCTGCAAACTATTATAAAACACAAAGATCTTCATCTTCATCACTTGCTTTATTTCTATAACAATCAAATATTTTTCTGTTAAATCACTATAGAGAAACCCCTGGCTTCACATAATCACCTTCGACATTAAATGTTCTTGTGGTTTCTCTTTTTCTCTGATGTCTGTGTCCAAGAATCCAGAAAGCTGTGTAAGGAGCTCTTCATACTTCCTGCTGATTTTAGAAGCTTGAGTCATGTTTTCTTCACTTTTATTCCAATATTTACTAGTCAGACAGAAAAAAAATACACACACCAGGATGAATGTTCTCTGAAAAAGAATTCAAGGCAAAAGACATTATCCCAAGACTATTGCTAGCTTCTGCATACCAGCAAATGAATTTTAAAAGTTACATTTAATTTTCTATGGTCTGTTATTTAATACATATTTTGTATTAAATACAAAAATATGTATTAAATACAAAATATGTATTAAATACAATTGTTGTTCCCTTGTGTAAACATTTATCTTTGCTTTTGATTGGCACTTCAAAGAATCTTCTATGATCCCAACCTCATTCTCAGCACAAGATTTCAATAAAACACAAGAATCAGGTGACATCAATAAGTAGTGCCCTCAAGACACTAGCAGTAGAAAGTGCAACCAAAAGCTTAGAAAAGAAAAGGGGGGGAAGAGAGTAATCAACTTTGAGTAAAAATATGCTGAAAGCACTTCCCATCCCCCCTCTAAAGAAGCTGACAGTGCTGATCAACAAACTCCAAGGAAAGAGAAGCCTCTCTGGACTAACAGAAGTGCAGGACATCCAGAGTACCTTGTGAAGGGAAATTTACCAACAGAAGCAGAGATGGGAGACACTACTTTGCTACACAGTCTTCTGCAGTGCAGCACTATCAATGAAATGGATGGATTAAAACAGAAAATATCTAGGGACTAACACAAAGGTTTGAAGAAAAAGCAGCTTTTTGCCATCAGTTTCATAACTCTGAACAGGTGCTTATCATGTGAATACATATTCCAGCCTTAACCGCAGGTATCAGTTTGTAAATGGCAGATAAGAACAACCAACCAACTAAACTAGCAGTCAGTTTAACTCATTAGTATAAATGTGGTTACATCACTTCCCTTGGCAGGGACAAAGACAAGTCCAGCAAACAAGAACCAACACAATCTGCATAGGTAGCTAACAGATAAAAATCTTGCTCATGATGCTGAAATACACATCACTTATGAAAAACTACAAGGAATGAGATTAACAAAAACAGCCAACCAAACAAAGCTCAAAATGACCATTAGTGTAATCCAAAAAACAACTCCAATACCTCTCAGATAACACAAGAGAGGTACTTAGTGGTAGAGTGGAAGACAAGCTATTACGCTTCCAGTTGAAAAACAAGGTACTTTCTAAAGCCAGTTCTTCACACTAGAAGAAACCAAGACATGAGATATAACCAAACAGCTATCTAAAGCAAATATTTTATTGAAACTCATTTGCTTATTAGAGTATAGCACTATTCTCAGCTTTCAAGGTGGGCATGGTAGTCATTTTTGGACTCAGTCTTTTCCATTTCTGATTTATGTTAGAATATGGTATAAGATTGACCACCAATCCCGCAACTGTTCTGTGGCTCTAAAAAAATGAGGCATCCACACAGAACCATGTCTGCTTCTAAAAATAAAAAATCTGAAGTACAAAGCACGTACTTGATAACTCTACGAATAACCTAATTACCTCCAGTAGGGCCCTAAAGGTGTGAGCACCCAGAAAATAGGCAATCAGGTACAAAAAAAAGTAGAACACAGCTTTTTCACAGCTTTGCTAGCTCTTTAGAACTAATGAGCAAAGAGGAGGAAGGAAAAGGAAGAAAAAAGCTTTTTACAGTTCACACTCTAAATATGCCATGGCAATAGATCTGTTGAGTAAAAAAGCACCATTTTCAACAGGAGAGGTGCACATCCTGGAAGCCAATCATAGAATTCATCAAACATTTCTTACTCATCCCCAGGTACAGAATGCAAATATGCATTTCCTACATACTGGTTTGCTCTTTTCATTAGCGATTTTCAGTGAAAATCTTTTTGAATACCTAATTAGGACTAGTCGTGTGCCACGTACTACCAAGGTGGTTAGACTAAGTGACTGAAGCTCAATAAGTCAGTACATTGGTTAGTATTAAGTGACACATGTAACCATTAGCTGGGGTTGAGAAAAAACTTGGAAAGCAAACACTGCACATTCGTGACCGATCCAACATGTTTGTTTCCTCCAAATGAGCAGACTCAATCTCCCGTTACCCCTTCCCTTTTGCCAGAAGTCCAGTGGTCCACTCCAGGTGCACAGTGAATCAGATCTGGGATCGGTAGAGCTGGAAATCAATATTTTATTTTGCTCACTTCTCTCTTGGAGCAGTCACCTGGTCCTGATCACCATGCAGCAACACAAAGAGAACTGATGACACAAGTCTCATGGGCCAAAGAGAGAAACCAGGACTGCTCTGGGAGTGACAGCAGAGATTTATGCCCATAAAATTGATCATATCACTGTAATGATAGGCTAGTATGATACACAGCAGTTTTCTCCCAGTGAGTTAGGAAATGGGATAGTGGGGTTTTCTTCCCTTTTTTCTTCTTTTTTTTTCCCACCAGAAATAGCATTTTAAAGAATCTTAATAGTTATTATGTCAGAGATTGATGCTTTTAATGTTGCTAGGATGAATAATACACTTCTCGACTTAACTATATCCTCACTTATACTGGGATCCTATCTAATATCTTTGGTAATCAACATAAGCACTCTCTAGGCAGAACTTTTGGCAAATCAGCTGGTAATAAACAAGTGCACTGCAATGGTTTTCTCTAGATTTTAAAATAACTTAGTTATTCACTTCTAACACACAAAGCCTGGCAGAGCTGTGCAAAATACTATTTTGGGAAATACAGACATCTGGTAAACACTCACCTTGCTCTTAACTAAACAGTATTGAGAGAATCATGAATATTAGCCTGCCAATGGGTGGAAACATCCATTACAAAAGTCTACAAGGTGTCTATTAACATGATTGATACCAATTTTCAAATTTTAGTGTTCAGAATATTTTCACAGCAATCAATTTGATTCGTGATCAACATTGCTATCAGTGTCCCTCCCACAGAAATAGGAGCAATTATGTAGAACTGACAGATCAGTGCTCTGATACACTATGCTAAGAACAGTATAGTTAAAAGACACTGTCTTTTATTATCAGTTTTGTGCACATTAAAAATGTAAACAAAACAAGACCACACAGCAACATCCAAAAGAAAGCAGAAGCAATGTCAGAGAAAGCTAACATTACTGAAAGCTGTACAAACATTAACCAAACATTAACATGTTCCTTTCAAGATGCTACTAACTAGGAATTATACCATATTTCCTTTATTAGACTGCTCCTAACAGACAGCTTTACACTAAGAAAGAAATTCACTTGATGCTGTTCTGGTTCCAGCTGTGACAGAGAAGAGGGGAAAACAGTTTGGGGTGGTGCAGGAGCACAGTCACTCACCACTGCATAGTCTGTGCAGTATGCCCATGGTAAATGTCTGTAAAAGATGGCACGTAATAAGGACAGACCAGGGAGCCAGTCTGTACAAAGTCTGCCTCAGTGCCACACATGGAAATAACTTGAATGAGGAAAGTATATGTATAACTTTTACTGTGTTCAGAGTAACAGCCCTCTGTGCTTCTTTTTTGGTAAACAATGAGGTTACACCAAGCTGACTTATATCATTTCACCTTTGAAGGACAAAACACTCAAAATCCTATTTATGGGCTAACAACTCAAAACAAAATTCAAATTTCAACACCTTCCATACACTCAGGTACAACAGTTTTGCAAGGCATTGTAACAGAATTTAGAACTGAAATAAAGATTGTCCACCAATATATTTTTCTGCATTGACAATTGCACCATTCTGTCATCCCAAACAAAAATTAATTCTCATCTTACATGACTCTTACTTAAGTTTGGTATTTTGATTGTGCAGCTCCTCCTTCAGCTCCCAGTTTTCCTTATATGCCACCTGAGCTGTCAGCTCAGCCTGGTTTTTAGAAGTGGCGAGCACACACAGCTCTTCCTCCATCTCCTGGATTCGTGTTTGCAAAGACAGGAGGCGAGACTTCTGTCTAGCATTGTTTTCCTTATAGCTTTCAGCTTCAGCCTTCAGCTCTTGAAAAGAAGCTTCTTTAGAGATTATGCTGGACCTGAGTTCAAGAAGCTATGGACAGAAAAAGAGAAAATTAATGGAGAATAATTTGCCCATGCTCGAGGGAGGTGATTATCCTGCTCTACTCTGCACTAGTGCAACTTCACCTTGAATATTGTGTGCAGTTTGGGGCACCACAATATAAGAAAGATATTAAGCTCTTAGAGACTGTCCAGAGGAGGGCAATAAGGCTGGTGAAGGGCCTTGAGGGGAAGCTGTATGACAAGCAGCTGAGGTCACTTGGTCTGTTCAGCCTGGAGGAGACTGAAGGGAGACCTCATTGCACTCTACAACTTCTTTGTGAGGGGAAGAGGAGGGGCAGGCATTGATCTCTTCTCTGTGGTGACCAGTGACAAGACCCAAGGGAATGGCCTGAAGCTGTGTCAGAGGAGGTTTAGGTTGGGTATGAGAAAAAGATTCTTCACCCAGAGGGTGGTTGGGCACTGGAACAGGCTCCCCAGGGAAGTGGTCACAGCACCAAGCCTGACAGTGTTCAAGAAGCGTTTGGATGATACTCCTGGGCACATGGTGTGACTCTTGGGAATGGTCCTGTGCAGGGCCAGGAGTTGGATTCAACGATCTTTGTGGGTCCCTTCAAAGTCAGCATATTCTGTGATTCTGTGAAATAACATGACTGTACTACAAGCTTAGTAATGTGACAAAAAAAACACAATTTGGAATAGAAGATTCACTTTTCTACCACTACAAGACTGAGTGGAGGGATGCAACTTTACTTTCATATAACTACGAAAAAGTAATAGAAGAGGTTTGTAGGAACAAAAGCTACTGTGGGCTAACACAATACAATTTTTCACGATAATATCTTACAGGAAGATAAGTTTATTTCATAATTCAAAATTTAGGAAAAGTTTACCTTAAGTTCTGCTGCACAACCTTGTCTTGCATGCATCTGCTTTACAATAAAATTATTAACACCACTATTCCCTCTTTTTTGCCTGCCACTTGCCTGCTTCCAATTCTGGTGCACAATTCCACAGAAAATTTAAAGCTGCAGGAAGCTGTAACAGCAAAGTACCCTGTTGTATGGGTACAGAGCCTCTTCATAATTTGTGAAATATTCAGAGGCAAATAAATCTTTGGAACGTTGTGCGGTAGGCAACCTCTTCTCATCTTATGTAAATCGCTATTTTTTGGTCTGATAATCCAGTTCAATCCAGTTTTTTGGCTTTCCTCTCTCTTTTATTTAAAAATACAATTTTCCATTGAACTATCTCTGCTACAAGCTTCTGGAGGAGACTGAGCTTGAGGTAGACACACCAGGCAAATAAAATTTCCTTGCAATTTTGTTAAAAGGAATCACAAGAAGCATTAAGGTATGTTTCAGATCTCCTGACAATTCCAATTAAAAGCAGCAAGATGCAATCCAAAGCATTCCTCTCCTATTACATAAAATTAACAGGCAAATAATTAAGCCACATTAACTGCTCTTTATGAAGACTGGTAGGGCTTTTAACTTGTGGCAAACATTTTAAGGCAGAAATATTTAGGACATTAAACTGCAATTCAGGACAATGTAAAATTCGCTGCTCTGCCAGAGTTTTCCAGTGTGACCAAACCCAAGAATATTCAGAGAAATTCAAGAGGCTGGTGAGCCAACTGAACAGCAACTGCCTTGGAAAAGAGAGGTCCTGCTTCTCCTGCTTCCAGCCACACATGTCTGTCCTCTACCTTGCACCAGCTCTGCGTTTGTCTGACTCCTCCACAAACAACTTAAATAACAGCTGTCAGAAAAGAATTCACTTTTCCTCTCACAGGGGAGAAAGAGGAAGTGGAGCTGGCCACATCACAGAGAAAAGGCTAACACTGAGAAATCAGGTAGGAGAATCACCCTTGCAGCAGCAGCAGCACAACTTTCAATAAGCTTATGCTTCACATGCAAGTGCTGGTTTATCAGACACCTTGGAGCTGACATAAAGCAGCACCGACTTTAAGAAAAGCAGCTTGGCCTTTTCCCAGGTTCTTGGGCTTCATTTCCATACTCCACCCTGTTCTTTGTGCTAGCAGAAGCACTAATATGGCTACGAGGTGAAATAAGATTGGGAAACTGATCTGGCTAAAACACAACTCGAAAGGAATGATTTTTTCAATTGCATCAACAAAACAGTGCACCATAAAAACTACACATACTTCTGTGCCGGTACAAGGGGTGGGGTAGTGTGGGGAAGGAAATGAGCAGCTAAAGGAACAATAGAATTGCTTTACTTGGCAGCTGGACCAAACTCTGGTATCTTACAGCGTTCATAACCTTAAAATTTCTCTGTGGTTCAACTCCCCATATGATATTTTTTTCCTCTGTCCATTGTCTTTGTGGTCAGTTCCAATAGTAGAAAAAGCAAGAATAATCCCATATCATGAGTTTTACAGAGCACTCAGCAGAACAAGGCTCTGACCTCAGCTGGGTCATGAAGGTCTTTATTAACAAGAGCATGAACAGCTGCTTTCTTGACTATTCTTTTGCTTTTGCAAGCGCAGTCTTGAAAGAATCTATAAATCATTCAGTCGTTCTGGCAATAAAGTCATTCAACATTTCCAGTAATAAATTCTTCGTATGAGAACATGAGATTCTGTATGGCTTTTTAAAATTGAAATTTAAAGCACTGATCCTGGATGGATGTTAAATGTAGGGGAACTCTGCAGTCATTTCAGGATCAACTCATCAAATTAAAGCTCAGCCAATGGACACTTATTCCTGTCTGGATACTGTAAATATATGTAAATAAACATAAGCATTTCGTGTCTTCTAAAGGCAAATTTTACTCCATTTTAAAACTGACCACTGACCACACCGCTGACTTTGACTGATCAAATCAACTTTAGTCAGTCATACATCAAAAAAAAAAAAAATATTTGTGGAAATATCCTGTAATAAAACCTCTCCTGAGAAGCACCGTCTAGACAGCAGGAAGAGCTGCAAAGTATGTGTATGTGTTCTTCAGCCTTTCTAGTTACAATCAACCTCATTAGTACAAACAAAATTTCACTGATGATGAAAGCAAAGCAAATTTGTGGAGCTGTGATTTGAATAAAGAGGAGAAATGGGTAAAGGTGGGCGGCCATATTTTAACTCACCAGCAACAACAGGAGGACATCTATCAGAACTTTTACACAACCACAATTTAAAAATACGAACTTTCAGGTTTAAAATAAAAAGATTGAATTTAGATGACAATGATAAAAAGCTAGACTGCTTCAAATCTTTCAAACAGAAACTCACAATTAGCTCTTGATCACAGAAGGAAGCAAAGTAAAAATCACACAGAAATTCTAAAAACAAAAATGTTACAAAAAACCAAGAGTTTGTTGTAAAAGCAAGTTTTGGAATTTCTGCAAGTTTTCTATTCTCTGTATAAAGTATCCCCAAAGAATTTTCAGGTTTAGAGAAGGATTTGAAATGCTTTTAAATGTACCTCTGACTCGGCACAATCATACTTCACTGAAAGTGCTGCAAGTTCACTTTGAGCAGCTTCAGCTGCAGCTCGGTAGTGATTCATCTGCTCTCTAGTGACAGGAATATCCAAAAGAACGTGATCATGAGATTCCTGTGAAGACAGTATGAAAACAAAACCATTGGAGATTGCACTTTTGAACGTTTTTACTGCAGTGCTTTTTTGTTTGATAAAGCACATTTTTCCAAATACGCTATTCCCAGAGTAGCATGCCCTTACTGAAAAACAGGTTAAACAGTCACTTTTCTACCACTCACTACTTTAATCTGTAAGTTCAGCCACGAACATCAGTGCTAAAGTATAATAGCCTGTAAGATATTCCCCCTCAACAATCCCATGGCCTTCCACTGCTTTCAGCTCTGGCTGTTTCCAGCAGTTTCTATGTATTTGGCAACATTCAAAAGGTCTCTCTTCGACAAACCTATCCAGTCGCTCTTTTAACTCATGTAAACTTTAACCCAACAGGAGTCCTCAGATGTATCTTACACAAAGAACCACTTTGGTTTTTAGACTTCAGTTCCATTGCTTGTCCCCTCATTTTTATTTTGGAAGAATTGTTGAAGAAAAAGCAGTGGCTACCAATCTTCTCTGCGCCAGTCATGATTTCTATCATATCTCACCTCCACAGTCTCTCTACCAGGTTGAAGAGTCCATGTCTACTCAGATACTTGTATCTGCCCCTCCAAGTCACTTTTTGGCTTGCCATTTGTTCTTTTACTTCTAAGCTGTCAAGGCTAAAGGTCCTTTTAAACTTCATCACTAGGATACAACTTCAGCCTTCTGACTGATGTGTTCTCATCCCCAGCAATCACCATGATGACTTCCTTTCATTCTTTTTCAAGTCCTGATTCTATGGCAAGCACTGCCTCTGTGTTTCTAGCACAGTCTCCTTCACACCACTTGCACAACTCTTTCAGCTGTGCCCTTTAGATTCTACAGTAGGCTTTCTCCTTTTTGCACTCCTCTGCTCTTCTAGAGTAGAGCAGGAATGCACTGGATTTCTTGGCCTTTATTACTTAAGTCTTTCAAGAAGAAAATTCTGACCTGAGGTCTTGACATGGGTTTTATTAGATGGAACCTTTTTTTCAATTGATAGTAACTATAAAATGATGAAACGCAACCTCTTCAGAACACAACTAAGCTTAAGTTATGCTGGGAGCACACATGGCAAAGGATCAAATGTGATATTTTTAATCCATCAGCTCTCACACAGGACTGCAATCCTCATGCATTTGGGTATGCATTTCAAAATGCAAATCTCCCCCAGCCAATGACTGCTGTTGGAACAAGGCATCCTAACAGAGACAGAGACAAGGTGTCTTCCTTTCACGCTTTTCTACATCAGCATCAGTTTCCAGGCTGAGATAAATTACAAGTGCAGCTCCTACCCATCCAAAACAGAAAAAAAAATTAACAGTGAGTAAAATAAATCTCTACCAAGAAACACACAGAGAAATCCCTGGAGAATAAGGCAAAACTACTAGTTAAGGCTGCAACAGAAGATAAATCACCTTGGATTAGTTGCTATAATATTGCCAACTCTTTGTTTTCATCTTTCTTCAATGCGCTAGTAGACGCTGGATTAGAACCATCAAGTTTAATTGCATTCATCTCCCCCAGAGACACTCAGCTGTGCTCTTTCATGAAGGAGTTGCCACTTTCACCAAGCCAGTCAGATACATGGAGTAAGCTCACGGCCACATACAACATAATCTCAAAGATAAAAGGGCTGCTAATGTTCTCAACACTTTATCACCCTCCTGAGGGAGTGAGGAAAGGCATGTGCCACCTCCTTGGTACTTTGTCTTCCTTTTGCTCCACTCCACTTATTTCACACTGTACAACCACATGAAATTCTTTGATGTAGAGAGTGTTTTTTCATTCTGTAATACACCAGGGCTCCACAACCACAGATGGAGCTTGCAAACAGTAATGCTGTATGCCGTTTATGCATGTTATTACATTTATAGTACTGCATTAACGTAGATTTTCTTTTTCTTCCCTAAACAAACACAGACACTTATGACTTCACAGAAGGAAGGAATACATCTCAAAACTGATGAAATAAAAACATTTCAGAGCATTGACGAAGAAAGAAGCCCCCATTCAGCAGCAACAACCAATGTAACAGCTTTGCAGCTGCAACTTCCAAAATCTGTGTTTTTTATACAAATCTAGATTTTAAAATGATGAGCACTTTAAAGATTCAGATACACATCCAGAACGATTTAAAAAAAGAGGTTAAAATGAAGCCAGGTGCAAAAGTCAATGGGAATTACCATTTCACTCATCTACAGTGTTAGTGAGATTTACAGTGGCAGATCTCTGCATCCTCCAGTGCCTTAGCACATATGAAGCTAATCACACGTAGTAGCATCACACTAGGAAAGTTAGCATTACCATCACACTTTTGGCAGGAAATGTGCATGCTTTAGTATTAATGCTTTTCTATGTTTCTATGCTCTGCCATCAGTCAGTCACAAGTCTGATCTTTAATAAGACCTATCAGACAACTCAATTAACTTGGCATGACTCTACTGTAGGGATAAAATTTGTAATGGGGATGCGGCATTTTTATATCTATGGAAAAATTCAGATTTGTGATCTTTCATAAGTACTCTGTAGCCTATACTGATTACTGTCAATAAAACAGAATTAATAAAGTGTTAAAAGAATAAGAGGCAGTAGACGGCAGAAGCTTTAATACACTATCACTCAATCCACTCTAAATAATCTAGGTTTTGGGTGGTTCTCCCATTCACATTATTAACTTTTTTGATCCCTTTCCACTTACCTGCAAGAAAATGAAGTTTTAATTTAACATCAAATGCTAAACAGAAGCTAAACGTATATTTAAAATACGTAAGAGCAGTATCTACTTGGACCTTTGGCTTTGTTAGCAATAGATGTTCTTTAGAAAATCAACAATATATGGTCATTGTTGTTATTGTTGCCCGTTTTTCTTTTGATTTTTTACCAAATAACTACCTTCACCTCCCTGGAAGCCAGCTTTTAGTTGGCAAACTCCATTTGACTAAGAAATAATGAAACTTCAACAACATTCAGTAGTCTTACACCTATCCGTGTACTTCGAAATCAACCAACTTCTCAAGTCACTCACTCCCATTCTGCTTTTGGCAGCTTTTATTTCCTGAAGTGTTTCTTATTTCAGCCCTAGCAAATGCTGCTACCGCTGCCATTGCCCACACACATTCTCTCTACCCCTTTGCCAAAGCATATATTTAAAAATGTCTTTAAAGAAACAGAAAGCCCCCCATAACCGTTTAAGCACCACTGCTACCCTGAGTGACTTGTCAATGCACTGCCTCTTGTCCACAGCAGATGGACACTCCTCAGGGCAGGGATTTCTTCTTCCCATTCCCAAAGCATCTAATCACATTGGGGTTGACATACCAAAAATGATGACTCGTGAACCTTTGTTGAATCCATTCTTCCTTTGCTTCTACAGAACAAATGGGGGGGGAAGGGGAAGAAAGGTTGAAAATTAAATAGATTTGCAATATGATGGTACATGACATTAATTTTTAGCAGGCCTGCTATACTAAACTTTTTCATAGGTTACCATCAGAAAAGTTGGGCATAAAAGCAGAACACCATGGGAAAGTTTCTCTAGTAGTTGTGTGCACTTTGATGGCCTCCACAATATTCAAACACACACTTAACTAAAACAGACACTGACTTCTCAAGGTCACATTCACCAGTTCAGCTACACAGTCAGCCTTTGTGCAGTGATTGCTTCCTTTGCCACTGCTTTTCACGTGCTCCAAGTTTTATTTCATCTCTCCTTTTGTCCTGCATGTCTTCTACACTGACATATTTCAAAATTAAAAAAGAAACCTGAGCAATTACACATGATCTAACTTAACTGACTGGACGCAGTGCAATATTCAACAATTTCCATAATTCCCAGTGTCATAACCATTCATATTCTGAAAACAAAGGAAATGACAAATCCCAAATCTGTAATATTTCTTCCCAAGACAAATAAATGCTCATGGGTGCATATGTGGATGAAAATTGTTCTAACTTCTGAAAACACAATTCAACAGTACAGTTGATTATTATTATTATTATTTGCCGCAACAAGTAAGAAGAAGACATCCAACATGAACTACTGGGAAGAATGGGCAGTTGAAAAATTTCCACACAGAATTTATCTCCATAAGCAATCACAAAGAAATGTTAGTCCCCAAACTTGTTATTGGGTCTGTGGGAGGCTAAGGTGCTTTCCAGGACAAGAGGAACCAGGAGGAATTCATTCTGTATGGGCTGAACTGCTGAAAAAGGGATCTTGAATATTGTTTTGATACTCACTATTCTATCTACAGCTAGAAACCTAGTATTAAAAATTTGTTGCCATCCACAACCTAACTAGCTTAAATTTCTGAATAACTTGATCTAAAAAAAAATTCTACTTCAGCATGCAGCAAATACATAATTATTTTTTTTTTGAAAAATAATCTATCCTACTATAAAAACAAGTTTTAGAATACATTTCTTTTCATAAAATTTACAGGATAAAAAGCAAATCTTATTTTAATAAGTAACATGAAAATCAGGCACTGGACAATTTTTAGAGATTAATTTCTGAGTGAAATGCAGGGAAGGTAGGCAGCACTTGGCTACAGCAGATTTTTTTTGGTAGCAGCAGCTAGCCATCCATCCAGCATGCACATTGCTTCAGAAAAGCCACAGCAGCTACACACACCAATGAGCATGAGAGGGGTAAGACACTATTACACAGTGACTCAGATTTTGTTAACACATGCGAAAACATATTACAATTAATTGGAGTCACTTCAAGGGAGAAAAAAGTTCACAAATTAAATATCTTTTATGTGTATTTTGGGTAATGTTGACTTCTTTATAGATAATATTTTTCCTAATTTGCCTATCAGGAATCTCAAAATGTTTGTGCTGATAATGACTTATTAACATAAATCAAAATTTGCAAATAATATTTCACAACTATTTCCATTCTGTCAGTTGCTCTTGCACATCTTAAAATGCCAGAAATAACCAATTACTTTTGATCACTTCCTGCTCAGTGAAGTCTTATTTCCCCTTGCCGATTTCTCCCTGTAACTACACCCAATTCATTGCTTGCATTTTGTGTAATTCTGAAAAGTTCTTTTCTTGTTATTGTTATATGTCTGTGAAGTTTTTCTGCATTAGTGTAATGTTCCAGAAGCATGTAAAACTAAATGTTCCCAGCAGTTCAGATAAATTACCAAAGAGATTTTCTAAATTCCTTTCAGAAGGCTACTGCTGAAGTCTACTCTCCTCCCTTTGCAGTAATCATTGAAAGGTATTACTGAAGATAAAAATCACCCTCTGGTGTTCCTCTACTTAAGAGGCCGATTTCAAGCTTGATTAACGGGCCCAAATGAAAGTTTCATCACAATAAAAATTTTAGTCTTACCCACTACTACTACAAGCAGCAGTTAAAGCATTTTCATCTTACATTTTTCTCTCTGTTAAGATGAGATGACTTTCCATTTATATGTAATAAATGCATTTAAAATGATGAAAGACAGCACTCATCTCAAAGCAATTACAGAGACACATCACCTACTCTAAACACTGCTTAACATGTTTTCTGAGTTACTTCATCTTTTGTCTGCGTGAATAAATTAAGTAATATGGCACTCCCCTGACACTTTCACTCACAGCTTTTCCAAAATTATTAACAAAAAGCTGCTGTGTTTATTTCCAAAACAATAAAAAGGGTAATTGCTAAGATAAAATTAAGTGCTTATGCAGGGATTTGTGCAAACAACTTGTTCTACTGCTCTTGCTTTATCAGTGTTGAATAGAGTTAAATAACTTCTGTAACAGAATAATTTATACACAAGATTTAAAAAACAGACCCTCTTGCAATGCCAACACTTGCAATTTTCCTACAATGCCTATTATACAGCAATCAAGAAAACAAATATTTTAGAAACATTTAAGTGTGCTGGTATATACACAATTAAAGACTGATTAGTGCTGTAGTTTGATTTACCAGTTGTAACCCACATTTTATAAATACATAGTTTCTAAGGTGCTTCTGAGTCCCAAAAGCAACATTCACAAACTATTTGACTTAGATAGGTAGAACAGTAACAGTAAGCAGTGCTAACAAAAACTTTGTAATTGGGTCATAACAGTTGTATTTAGTATAATGGCAGTTGTTTGCCACCACAAACTACCGGAATTCTTTATTTTTTTGTCTCAGAGCAACATAGCTTCATTACAAAAGTGATGTTCAACTGTTAAGGAGGTACCAAGCTGTTCACACAAAAATAATTTTTTTTATCTTTTGCAATACAAAGGTGTTACAAGTTTTCTACTATATCTTTAGTACAAAAGAGTTTGATCCTTCTAAGCAATATTCTCTCCCTTAAATTCACATCAAAGCCAGCAAACCAGTTTCAAAGGAAGAAGAGATGCAAAGAAGAAATTCTTAGATAACTACTATAAATTCCTACTCCGTGAAAGCTACTCCCTTCTGCAACACTTAGTAAGAAAAATCTTTTTGGCCTTGAGTGTATAAAGATAAGCTGTAATGATCAGGTGAAGTTCATTGAGCTTCAACTGCACCACACGTGGATCACTGGGAACAGCTCTGCACCTGCAGAAGTTGTGTTTTGGGGGTTTGGTTTTTTGAGGCAAAAGTGGTTGGGTTGTTTGGGTTTTTTTGGGGGGGCGGGTAGAAGGGGGGGTGTTTGAAAGGCAAAATTAAATTGAAAATTGAAAAAATGACTTGCAAAGGGGGGTTACAACGAGCCTCAGGGTCAGTCAGCCTCCACAGCAACACCGACAGAAGCTACTGAAGAGTGAGGGGAGAAAGGGGCATTTTTCCAAAACCAGGGCTTTATTTTCTAACAGGGGAATAAGTAAAAAACAAACAAACAAACAAACCCAACAACAAAACACCCCCCCCCCCAAAAACACAAACAATAACAACAACACAAAATAAAACAAACCAAACCACAAAACCCCTAACCACGCCAAGCCCCTCTGCCCTTTCTGCCTTGCCCTCTGTCCCTCTGTCACCGCGGTACCTGCGCTGCTGCCCGGGCCAGCCCGCCGAGCCTCCCCTGCCGGCCCTCATGGCCGCTCGCGGCCGCCGCCATCCCCCTGGCAACGCGTCCCGGGAAAGGACGGAGGGGGCACCGCGGTGGGGCCCGCGGCGAGGGAAGGGGGGAGAGTGCTCGGTGTGTGAAGGTGAAGAGACTTTACGAAGAGATGCTCACAGAAACGTGGGGCTTTTTGTTGTTTGGTTTTGCTGGGTTTTTTTCACTTCAAATAAACATTACCTGAGGAAATTGGCTCAGATTTTTCCTCAAAAAAGTCAAAAGAGGCGATCAGAGCAGACGACACTTGAGCAGCAGCTGCAATTCCTCGGGCAGGCTTTCCTTCTCCCCTCAGAACCTGGAAACGAGCACCTCCGCAGCCCGGGGACAGCAGCCTTCCTTGATGAACGCTAAAGTACCTGCAGCTGAAAGAGCACCTCGTCCTCTTCCTCCTCACCTTTCACCCAAATAAAGTGGATAAACATGGGAGGAGAGAAACTGAAGATAGCAGTAAAAGAAAATTAAACCTTTGGGTGCATCGAGGCTGCACATAATTTTCTCTGAAGACCCTGTCAGCTGTTTAATCAGCTCATCCCCGTGCCTCTGGGCACAGAGCCATCTTGCACCATTTCTGTACTCACAAGTCAAAAACTGCCTCACCTTTCCTAGGAATGCTGACTTAATCATGTTTTCCAGAAAACAAAATGGAAAAGCTAGGGACAGTACTCTTTTTTTTTTTTTTTTTTGTCCTCGTCTCTGTGTGGCTGAAGCCTTTTCACTGCTGCTGCCAAGGACAGAGAAGACCCCTACCCAAGCAGAGGGGTGCTAGCATGGGTCATCACCCTATTTAAATGGCTGCACTGCTTAAATCGCAGAGGTATACAATGCCATCCCTCAGCTGGAATCTGCCACTAAACTCATAAAGGATGGGAGAAAAATAACTTAATGTGAGGAAGGAGTGCTGGGAACAGGCTGAGGGAAATGGAGACCCACATGGGGCTGAGGCTGTGCAGCACAGGCAGCAGCAGTGGCCTCCATCTTCCTAAGTGTTAGGGGAAAGACACAATTGCTGTCGGTGCGTGGGGTGGTGACAGCTCCTTTGGTGGCATGTTTCCAGTTCATCCTCAGGGGTGAAGGGTGAGCTAACAGCCACACAGGATGGCATAGGGGCACGAAAATGTTTCACAAACCCCGCTGTTCTTACTGTACACAAATGCTGGTGCTGTAGCAGAGGAGTGAAACCCGGTAAGGCACTTCTGAATCAAGATTGTCCAGTGCTGAAGAGCAGATGGGGGTGCAGAGAAGCAGCAAAGCTGCTACCACCACATCGTGCAAAATGTTGCTCCAGGGTAACCTCATTCTGCATCTATTAAGTATTTTTAACTGGTTAAATTTGTGCTTGTGGTCTTACATAAGCCCAGCTTAAATCTGGCACAAGTTTTACTATCCACTGCAAATTCGAATAAAAATATCGTCCTAGATTTGCCCAGCATTTGACTACAGGCTAAACTGTCCTATTACTGGAGCAGCATGCAGATGCAGAATTAAATGATTGTGAAACTTTTTCCTAACTTGCCTAAGTATGTGCTTGAGCACACTTCCCCATCACTAGTCCTGCAGTGCCACGGCTGGTTCAAGAGCTATACTTCAGCCACTTATACAGCTGTATCTTACCATAGATCTATGAAGTTATTTGGCTTTAAAAAAGCATACTGAATCTGATGAACTGCAGCAAGAGTAACAATAAAAGAGGCAAGAAAAAAAATTACATAGAAATTTAATGTAACACTCCAAAAAAGAATGGGGCAGTTTGAGGCCCCATTTGACTAAGAAAAAAGTATCTTATTACACAATGCTCACACTTAAAAGTGCTTTACCCTTGTGCCAATATTTACAAGTAGAGTTCTCAAAAGGACTCCATATTTCTTTTCCCTTAACAGGGACAGGAAATAATGACTTAGAAAGGGTTACTTCAGACTTTTAATTATAAATAATTTCAAGGAGTCATTTTCATTCATCAAATTCATGTTTTGTTATAGAAACTACATGGACAGGATGTTCTCAGCTTTTCTGAGCAAAGTATGATGCAAAATCTCTTGAATATATGTACGCCACTCCAATTTTTGAAACAGAAAATAACAATTAAAAAATTACTCTAAACCTTCCCTTCCCTGAAAATGCTCGGTATTGAGAAAAGATGCTAAAACTGACCTGGGATAATGAAACCCCAAACCCAGTACCCCGTACACTCAAAAATATACCAGTTGAGATTCTGCAGGTATTGAAATATCTGCTCCTAACTGAATTTTCTGTATGTAAATGAGAATGGATATATAAGAAAAATTTCACAGCTAAAAGCCATGTGATGATGTGGATAGCTTGCCCCTCACTCGATGAAAGAGACATCCTTTGTATCTTGTAGGATATAGATGGATGGAGAGGAAGTGTCTGAAGTACCCCAATGGTACCAAATTTCTGGTCACTTGAACCAGAGATTCTCTTAGCACGTGACACAAATTAGCAGAAGTCACCTTTCAAAGTGCTTAGTATGCCAAAGGCTAAACTGATGTTCATTAATTCTACTGCTCACAAATCTTGTAATTTAAATTTATTTTAACAAGTGATTAAAAGACTGAATCAAAATATTTAATATTAGTTTTGAACTCAAAATTTCATTTTTTTACTAACACTATAAAAAAAATTTATTAACCTCAAAGCATCAGCACCATATTGAGAAGGTGAAGTATTTGTATTTTTTCATGTACACGAATTCCAAAAGATTTCCTGAACACATATATACTCATTACCTAAAAACAGCTATGGCTGAGGTCAAAAGAATTGTACACTAGCAACATTAAAATAGAAAGAGGTTCAGGGGAAATTAATCCACAGGACTTAAATTATCTCCTAATTCAGCTAGAATAATTAGAACGGCCACATTTTAACAAATATTTGGCATAAAACTCATGGGCATTACTTTCCAAGGTACTAATTTGCTCGTTTTCCAGAAGGTATCCACTCCAAAAGCAGAGTATGTCCCACCAAGCTGTGCTCCTCCTCTACTCCCTCAAATCACTAGTATCATCCTGTAGTGGAGAAAGCTTTCTTGAGGAGTTTCTTATCCTCAGCTTACCTACTTCAAGGTTTAAGATGTGTAAATTGAGTGTAGGTAAATTGTGTCTGATAACAGTTACTACTGTAAATCTGATAGTGGACTATTTTAAGAAGGATTAACTAGTCTGATTAAGTTCATCTGTTCTTCTGCCTAACCAAAATAAGAGTCCTTTTTTCCCCAAAAATCTTTTAACTCCCTGATATGCACTGCACAACTAGCTCCTGCTAGCGCTTTCCATCAGGACCCAGCAAAATAGCAGCAAAACCTCCTAGGGCCAGGGATGCAGTCAAAGCTGCATATCCAACAAATGTCAAAGGCATTCAAGTATAGCTCTAATCAGGATCGCTTGAAAACAAGAATACAGCCAACTATGGAAAAACGGGGATGTTCTTTGGTCACATAGAACCCTTGCTGCAAGTGGTAGGCCCTTCTCTCTCTTCAGGAATTTACCTGTCTCCTAATTCCCTAACCTACTAGGCCATGGGTACACATATTCCCTGGGCTGAAATAGGATTGTAATGCAAATAACACAAGAGTCACTGGACAGAAGGAAAAGTAGGTGAAGAGTCCCTTCAGCTAGCTTGAGGGAACGCTCCTGGACTCTAGCCCTTTTTCCAGAATTGTTCTGCATTTTACACAGATCCTAGACCAAAATTAACAATTATGTATGCACATAAGCCATCTAGGATCAGAACACAGTGCATTTCCTGACCTATAACAGTTAAGATATTTTCTTGGGAAGTGGGAGTTAAGAGCTGAAACCTATTCCAGGCCACAAACGGTTGTTAAAAGCTGGTTCTGTTTCCTGAACAGCCTTTCTGTACACACCACCACTGAAGGAAAGCATGGATTTACCAGTTTGCAGGTCCTTCTCTGCTGCATTAATATACACAAGCATTGTAAAGATTAAGCTTGCTGAACTTCAAGGACACTGTGACTACCTCCTGAACAGTGTTCTGTATGTTAGCAGGTAAGAGGGGAGAAAGCCCTTCTCTGCAGGTGCCTGAGCTGCAGGGGTGCTTGTCAGGAGATGCCCCTGTGCCCCGTGCCAGCATTACACAGCACCTCACTGAACACACAGTGCTTCTGTACAGCCCCTGCCCCAACAGGAGGCCTAGCTACTTCTGCCTCTTTGCCTCCACCCATTAGTCCAGCTCTCAGACTCTGTGTCTCCACATTCGGTAACAACCAAGTCCTCCTTTAAAATTAATCACTGAGTGAAATACCACAGCTGCAGGAAAAACTCCCTGTGATCCGCATGTGGGAAGATGCAACTAACGGTATCGTCAGGCCTCTCATCAGTTAGAGTCACCTGGAAAGCATCGGCCTTACCGTGATAGTATAAGACTAATCAATTAGTTAACATTAAGAAAGCAAAAAGAAAAAAATTTACCCTGATACATCTTACCTCAGCTTTTAATCTTTTACTTCATGAGACTTGGAAGAAGTAAGTGGAATCCCAGGA